GGGCAGAAAAGGGAATTTGCAGATGTGAGGGGGAGGGGAGTTTAGGGTTGGGGTGTGGGGGCACAGGGTTGGGGGTCCGGGGGATGCAGTGTGGGGGGGGGCTCACGACCCCCAGTCCCTTGCAGGCAGACAATGTCCAGGCACAGGAGCTGTGGCGCGGCTTCATCCTCACCATGGCCAAGGTTGGTGGGTGCCAGTGACCCCCCCCCCCCCCCCCCCCACCCCCACCCCGTGTCTCAGTGTCCCCACATCGTGTCTCCCCCCCACACACACACAGATGGAGGTGCCCACAGACCTGGAGCTGCTGCCTGGGCACATCTTCCAGCTGTCGGAGGCGCTGCGCCAGGAGAGGGAGAACCGCCGGGGGGCACGGAGTGTGGGGACAACTGCAGTGCCCCCGTGAGTGGGGGGCAGCAAGGGGACCTGAGATTGAGGTGCCATGGAGTGGGGCGACACGGAGTGGGGCGACACGGCTTGGCTTGGGATGGCTTGGCTTGGATGACATGACATGGCTTGGGGTGACATGGCATGGCTTGGGACAAGGTGGCATGGCTTGGGGGGAGGTGACAAGGCTGGGAGTGGCACAGCATGGCTTGAGGTGACACTACGTGGCTTGGAGGGACATGACACGGCTTGGGGTGGCATGACTTGGGGGGAAACTGGCTCAGATGGACATGGCATGGCTTGGGGGGACGTGGCGTGACTTGAGGTGACGTGTTGCAATTCAGGGTGATGTGAAATGACTTGAGGTGGCACAGCACGGCTTGGGGTGGCATGATGTGGCTCAGGGTGGCCGGGTGGCATGGCACGGCTTGGGGTGACAGCATGGCTCAGGTTAGGTGGCATAGCTTGGGTTGACATGGCATGGCTCGAAGTGGCACAGCATGGATTGCAGTGATGCAGCATGGCTCAGCTTAACATGCACAGGTTGGGGTGGCATGGCTTGGGTGACATGTAGCAATTCAAGGTGATGTGACATGGCTTGGGGTGACACGACATGAGTTGAGGTGACATATTGTGACTGGAGGTGACATGGTATGGCTTGGGGTGACATGCCATAGCTTGGGTGACGTGGCTTGGGGTGACACTATGGCTCAGGTTGATGTGGCATGGGTTGGGGTGACACTACATGGCTTGGAGTGACATGGCATGGCTTGGGGTGGCATGACATGGCTGCATGGCTTGGGGTGAAACTGTGGCTCAGATTGACATGGCATGGTTTGGGGTGACTTGGCATGAGGTGACATGGCTCAGATTGGCATGACATGGCTTGGGTGAAATTATGGCTTGGATTGACATAGCGTGGCTTGGGATGACATGGCATGGGGTGACAATGTGGCTCAGGATGACATGGCATGACTTGGGATGACATGACATAGGCTGACATGGCATGGCTTGGGATGGCATGGCTTGGGGTGACACTATGGCTTAGGATGACGTGGCATGGCTCGGGATGACATGAGATGGGGTGACATGGCTTGTGTTGACATAGCATGGCTTGGGATGACATGGCATGGGATGACACGGCATGGGGTGACATGGCATGGGATGACACGGCATGGGATGACACGGCATGGGGTGACACGGCATGGGGTGACACGGCATGGGATGACACGGCATGGGGTGACATGGCATGGGATGACATGGCATGGGATGACATGGCATGGGGTGACATGGCTCGGGATGACACGACATGGGGTGACATGGCTTGGGGTTACATGGCATGGGGTGACATGGCTCGGGATGACACGACATGGGGTGACAACGTGGCTCAGGTTGCCATGGCTTGGGGTGACGTGCTGCGCCTCGAGGTGCCACGGCACGGCGTGGGGTGACACAGCGTGGCTCAGGTTGGCTGGGGGAGCTCGTGGTGACACGCTGCACCCCGGGGTGACCCCACCCCCACCCCCAGCATGCCCAGCTGCTTCTTCGACGTGTCGCGTGCCGAGGCCGAGCGGCTGCTGGAGCGCAATGCGGGCGGTGGGAACGTGGTGCTGCGCCCCGGCGGGCACGGCCAAGGCTTCTCCATCAGCACACGGCAGGTGCAGAGCGGGTGAGCGGGGTGGGACCCCCCTCCTGTGCCCAGGGTTGGTCCCGGGGTTGGGGTCTCCTTGGGTGGGGGTTGGTGACACCCGCTGAGGTCGCCTCCCCGGGCAGCGTTGCTCTGCTGAAGCACTACAGGGTGGTCAGCGTGGCAGACGGGTTCCTCGTCGACGTCGATGCGCCGGTGAGCGCCGTGGGTCTGACCCACAGACACCCACTGTGCCCCTATGGGACGGGACCCGCCCCCCCAGCTCTGGGCTGAGGATCAGGGATTGGGACCCCTCCCTTCCCACAGAGCTGGGATCCCCCCGAGGGATTGGGGCCAGGCAGCCCTGGAGCTGGGACCAAAGGGGTGGGAAAGCAGGGATTCCCGGGGGGCTGGGAACCCGAGGGATTAGGAACCCCAAGAGACTGGGACTCAAGGGATTGGGGACTGAATAGCAAAGATTTATGGGATTGGGACCCCCCAGGGGTTGGGACCCCAGGGACTGGGGACTGAATGCGAAAGATTAATGGGACTGGGACCCCCAGGGGGCTGGGAGCCAGGCGACCCCCAGGGGAAACCCCCAAACCAGGGAACCCCACAGCTGAGACCGAAAGGGCAAGGAACCAGGGGACTGGGGGCTGAATGGCGAGGATTTATGGGACTGGGATCCCCTCTAGTGGGGCTGAGGGAGCTGCAGAGGGTCTCGTGGTTGTGAAGGAGGGGAGGGGGGGATGAATGACCCCATATCCTCTCCCTGCAGCATCACTGCTCCTCGCTGGACGAGGTGGTGCAGTACTTCGTGGAGCAGAGCAGAGGCAGCCTGCAGCCCCTGCGCCGGGAGTACAGCATGAGGCTGGGTGGGCGCCGGGGGGGGGCTGGGGGGGGGCGGCTGGGGCACAGCGGGTGTTGCAGGATGGGGGGGGAATGTGGGGCAGGGGAGGGCCGGAGTGAAGTTTATGGGGGGGAAGAAGGGGGGATCTTTGGCTTGCATGGGGTGAAGGGGCTGTGGGATGGTTTCTGCGGGGTGGGGGGGGGGGGGGGGGGGGGGGGGGGGGCTGTGATGCCCCCATTCTGCCTCAGAGTTCGCGGAAGCAGATGATAAAAGCTCGGAGGTGACACAGCAGCCATGCAAACCCCCCTCCTGCCCCCCCGCTCCCCGGCACCCCCCCACGGCGCAGCCCCGCCGGCTCAGGGCCCCCCCCCCGCTGCCAAAGGCAACACCGAGCCCACGGCACGCAGTGAGAGAAGGTGAGTGTGGATGGGGGAAACTGAGGCAGAGGGGGGAGGAGAGGGGGAGGGAAAGCACTGCACCCACGCTGCTCTCCCATGCAGGTGCCGGCAGCCCCCCCCGCTCAGCGCCCCGTCCGACCCCACGGCGCGTCCCCCCACTGCCCCATGGGCACAGTGCTGGTGAGGGGGGGTCTGGACAGGGCTTTGTTTGGGGGTGGGGGGCGGTGGGGAGCCCATGACGTGGATCTGCTTTGCCCCACTGCCCCCCAACCCCCAGCAGACATCACAGAGGAGCTGGCTCAGAAGCTGATGGCGCGCCGTGCTCTGAATGAGGACTGATGGGGGTCAGGGAGGGGGGGTTGGGCTGGCTGCCCCCTCCTTCCCTACCACCTGTGGGCGGTGGGGGTCACCTGCCCCCTCCTTCCCTACCGGCTGTGGGGGTCACCTGCCCCCTCCTGACCCCCCCTCACGCTGCCTGGCCTCGAAGCAGTGGCTGCCCATGGGTTGGAGGCCCCAGGTTGGAATACTGGGGGGGCACACAGCCCAATAGCAGCACATGGTGGTGAGGGGTTCGAAGGGGAGGGGGGGGCACACAGCCCTGGTGGCACTACAGATAATAAAGCTGCCCATCCCACCACCCCACTGCGCTTCCTCCATGTCCCAGCCCCCCCCCCACACCCCAAAAGTCCCTCCCCCCCCCTTTGGCTGTCCCCAAATGCAGCTCGCACCTCTATCCCGCTTTATTAAGGCCAGAAGCAGCTGTCTGTGGGGGGCAGCGAGCCCGGCCCTGTGCCAGTGTTGGGGGGGGCACACATGGGGGAGGGACCTGAGGGTCACAGGTGCCCCAGCACCCCAACCCAGCATCCCATGAGGGTCTGGGGGGGGCTGACACCCCCTACCTCCCCCCCAGCGCCTGGAGCGTGGCGAGGACAGAGTGTGATGGGGTAAGGGGGGGGGGGTTGTGGTTATGGGGGGGGTGATGGGTACATTCAGTGCTCTGCCCCGGGGGGGTCGCTGGGGCTCTTAGGGCAGGCTGGCCGTGGAGCTGCTGGCCGCGCTGTTGCGTTTCTGGAGGCATTTCACAGCGCTGGGCACCTGCAGGCCCGAGGAGACGTGGAAGCTGCCGCACCAAACCTGGGGGGCACAGGGGCAGCGGTGGGCATTGGGACCCCTCACAGCCCCCCCCACGATCCCACAGCCCCCCTCCTACCCCCCCCCACCTCAAGGCATCCTTACCATGAAGGCCGGCAGCACCGGCTGCGCAAAGCGTGCCTTGAAGGTGTGCAGCAGCTGCTTGGTGCGGGCGTTGTAGAAGGACAGGAATCCTGTGGGCACATGTGGGTATGTGTGGGGCACACATAGGGGCACACGTGGGGCACACATAGGGGCACACATAGGAGCACACGTAGGGCACACAGAGAGAGGTTTAAGGGCACATGGGCACAAAAGGGGGAATGTATGGAGCACATATAGGGACACGTGTGGGGCACACACAGGGGCATGTGTGGGGCATACATGGGGCTCATGGGGCATACATGGGGCACAGTAGAGACGTGCATACACGGGTGCATGTGGGCACATATAGGGGCACACAGTGGGGCATTTGTGGGACAGATATAGGGGCACACAGGGAGCACGTGTGGGGAACATGGAGACACGTGTGGGACACAAAAGGGGACACATGGGGCAAATGTGGGGCACACAGAGGTGTGGGTGGGGCACACATAAGGGCATATGTGGGACATGTGAGGCACAGATAAGGGGCACATGTGGGGCATATATGAGGCACACATAGGGGCACGTGTGGGGCACACAGGGGCATATGTGTGGCACACATAAGAGCATGTATGGAGCACACAGGGGGCACATGTGGGGCACACGTGGGCACACAGGCGTATGCGTAGGGCACGCATGGGCACGTGTGGGACACGTGGGGGCACACATATGGGCATGTGTGGCATATAAGGGCAGACATGGAGTATACAGGAGGGCACCTGGGGCACATAGGACCACATGTGAGGGACATGTAAGGGCACACATGGAACACACATGGGGCACAAGTGGGACACTTGGGGGCACGTACAGGGGCACACACAGGAGCACGTGGGGGCACACATGGAGCACATAGGGGAGCACACATGGGGCATACATAGGGGCATATATGGAGCACACTTGGGGACATGCATGGGGCACACACATGGGCACACGTGGGGCACAGAGCTCCACCTCTGCCCATCCACCCACCCCAGCAGTGCCCCACACGTCCATCGCCCCACACCCGATCCCAGGAGCAGCTCCCACCTTCATGGAAGTTGCAGTAGACGCCGATGCAGTCGGGCACGGGCACATCCAGCACCTTGGCCTTGTTGGCGTGCTTGGCGCTGAAGCTGACCTGCAGCCAGTTGTTGAGGTGGAGGCACCACGACGCCGACGTCTTGCCCAGCTGATCAAACTTGCCCAGGCTGCGATACGCCACCCCAACACCGAACGCTTTGCTGTCACGGTCGTACCTCACCTCCCAGTAGTGGTCGTCACCATCGATCAATGTGTCACCTGCGGGCACACGGCTGCCACGTCCCCCCCCTCTCTCTGTGCCCCACATTTTCCCCCCTCAGGCCGTGGCTGCTGCTCTCACCCAACACCGTGTAGGATTCGGCGGTGAAGCGATCCCTGCCGGCGCGGCTCAGTGACATCCGCTTGGGTGACTGCACAGCCCTGGGATGGAGGGATGGCGGTGAGGTCGGTGCCACCACCATCACCAGGAGATGGCTGGGGTGCTGTTACCTGGCGGGGGAGTTGGCGGGCGATGCGGTCCTGCCCTTCCCATCCTTCTCACGTGTCTTCACATCCTGCACCTTTCCGCCCGTGGCGTCCCACTCCACGCTGAAGTCCTCCACGCGCAGGTTCTGGTGGCACGTGCTGGCATCCAGCCGGAACATGAACGCTGGGGACAGCCACCATCAGTGCCACCCCCACCCCACCCCCCACCAGGTGCCACCCCCCCGGCACCCACCTCTCGTCTCCAAAGTGACTGCCTCAGAGAACTCTCCGGCCACGGCTTTGTTGCACGCCCGCACCCGGAAATTCATGTACTTCATGTCAAACTTCAGCCCTGCCGACACGCACAGCCAGGTGACAAACTGGGAGCACTGGGACAGCTCTGCTCCGCACCGACCGGCCCCACATCCTCACCAGACAGAGTGTATTCAGTGCCTTTAATGCCCTCCACCACCATCCAGGGCTGCTCCTCCTTGGCTCGGGGCGGCCCCTCGAAGTTGGTCCTGCGGTACTCCAGCACGTAGTGGTCGATCTTGCTGTCCTCATCAGGCATCCTCCAGGACAGCGTCACGCAGTTATCGGCTACCAGTGACTCTGTCAGGTCGATCTCAGGGGTGCTCGGCACTGCCCGGGAGGAGCAGCATGTCAGTCCCCCCCCTCCCCAACACAACCCCCTGCCCAACAGGGCATCCCCAGACCCCCATGTGTGGTGTGATGGGAGGGCTGAACCCTGGCACCCAGAGCTCCCTGGATGCAGCACCTATGGGCACACTGCCCCACGCACCCCAGCACAGCCCCAGAGCTCCCACTGAGCCCTCTGTGCTTCTACAAAGGCCACCACCACATCCCCACACCCCCCACACGCAGGGGTACCTGGCAGGAAGGCGAGGGCTTGCAGCAGGCGGCGCTCCTGGGCAAAATCCACCATCAGGTGGCTCATGTTGTCGCTCACCTTGGCCTTGAGCGAGAGGCGGAAGGCAGGAGCCATCGTCACACTGGGACACGGGGACAAAGCATCAGCCAGGCTGGGAGACGGACCCAGACCCCCCCCAACCCCGACTGCCAAGAGGGAGCTGAGGAGGGTGGGCAGCACCCTACACCCGCATCCCCCCCTCTGTAGCTGTGGGGTGAGGGTGGGGAGACGCCGACGCTGGGGTTAGTTGGGCATGGGGGGCAGCAGGGGGCACCGTACCTATCCTTGATCTGTTTGGCAGCCTGGAGAGCGCAGAGGGAAAGAGGAGAAAAAGAAAGCAGGTGAGACAGCAGTGCCAGGAGCCAGCGTGCTGCAGCGTGTCCTGACATCGTGGCCTCACAGCACAGCATCCCTGCAGCATCCCTGAAGCATCCCTGCAGTGGCACCCACAGCATCCCTGCATCCCCACAGCAGTACCTGCACAGCACAGCGTCCCCTGCGCCCACCGGCGTGCCATGCAGTGCAGCATCCCCATGTCCCCACCCCGCTGCACTTACATCCCTTTATCTCGGATAACAGAAGGTGCCACGCAGCACCTGAGGCTCTGGGTGATACGGGGGGGTCCCAGGCCCTAACCAAGCCTGGCAGCGGGCAAAGCCAGCCCAGCGTTAACGAGGTGCCCAGCACAGAAAGAGAGGAGCGTGGCCGCCTGGGGCGAGCACAGTCAGAGTGGCACGAGCCAGAAGGTGAGGGGGGACAGCATAGCCTAGCCTCCACCTCCAGCACACAGCGCTGGGGCAGCCGGGCAGGGATGGATGGCAGCTCCCAGCATGTGCACCTGGGCGAAGTCGTGGTTGTTGGCCGTCGCCAGGGTCTGGTTGGCCGTCTCCAGCAGCTCCTCCGAGCTCTCCAGCGCTTTGGCACACGCCGCCAGCTGAGCCTGAAGGACACAGAGCTGCAGTGTGTGGTGGGGGCAGGCAGTGGGTGGGCAGGGCAGGCGCTCACCTGCAGCTCGTAGGTGCGGCTGGCGCGGTCCTGCTTGATCTTCATCAGCATGCTGTCCTTCAGCTCGTCCAGCAGCGCATACAGCGACTGGAACTCCCCCTCCAGGTCCTCCTGCACTCGTGCAGAATTGTCCTGGTGGTGACAGCACACGGCAGCAGGTGATGGAGGCGGCCATGAGCACCACCCCTCACTCTGCCCCCATGTGGGACCCCCATGTGGCAGTGCTGCTGACGGGGAGGGGGGAACGTGTGGGGCGTTGAGTTACCTCCACATTCTGCAGCATCTGCTTGAGGGAGTAGATGAAGTTCTGGATCTCTTCATTCTTCACGGCCAAAGTGGTGATGATCTTCCGCAGCGCTTCCTGCCCGAGGGGTGGAGGGGTGGGGGGTACATTGTCAGTGTCCTCCTGGATCCCTTCTGAGCTCAGCCACCCCCTGGGTCCCCTCAGCCCCACACCCCCAACCCCACGGGACGCAGCACAGACACAGCAATGACTTGGCAGCGGGTGCGGGCGAGCTGCCAGCCGGGGGAGGGCATGGGGGAGGGCCACACCAGCGCTGCTGCTGTGCAGCCAGGCAGGACTGGGGGAGGTGGGGAGGGTGGAGAAGCTCCCAGCAGCCCCTGCCCACACCTTTGCCCCTCCATCTTCAACCCCTTCATCCCCCCCTCCAGCCCTCCTCCCATTCCCCCACACCTGTCCCTCCGTCCTCACCACCCTCATCCCCTCTCTCCTCCATCCCACCCCCATCCCTCCATCCCCACCCTCCACCCCTCCATCCCCATTCCTCCATTCTCCCTTCATCCCAACTCCCTCCATCCCTTCCCCATCCCCCCCCAAGCCCTGTCCCATACCCGGCCCGGCCCCACCTGGTCGCCCATACCGGGCCGCCCCCGCCGCCTCCAGGCCCTGCCGGCACCAACAAAAGGGGAGCGGTTCCGTCCCCGCTCCGCCCCGCCCGCAGGGCATGCTGGGAAGCGTAGTCCGCCTTCGGGGCACGCCGGGATGCGCCCTATTGCCGGGCGACGGGCCGCGGGGCATGCCGGGAAGTGTAGTGCGGCCGCGAGGCGTGCCGGGATAGGTCGCGTTGCCGCGGGGCGTGCTGGGATATGTAGCATTGGCTGCGGGCGGGCGCGGGGCACGCCGGGAAGTGTAGTGCGGCCGCGGGGCGTGCTGGGATACGCCGCATCGCCATGGGGCGGGCGCGGGGCATGCTGGGATGTGTAGTCCCGTGTAGGCCGTGCTTCACCCAGAGGGCCCAGCCCCCCCCCAGCGCAGGGCTGAGCCCCCCAGGAGGGGCTGAGCGGCACCGCCGCCTTCAGGCCCCGCTTCCCCCCCGCATCTCAGCCCCCTCCTGGGGAAATGGGGCCCCCAACCCCAGGGCAGGGGGGGACAGAGGAGGCTGCGGGATGCGAGTGCCTGGGGAGGGGAAGGAGCCCCCAGCGGGACCCCCAGCCTCGTGGTTGTCACCGTGAGGCCACGTGGGCCGCAGTGCTCTGGGGTCAGGATGTGCCTCCAAGGGAGGGGACAAGGAATGGTGGCACGTCTGGGTCAGCTCAGTCCTCAGCTGGGTGCTGGGGTGGGATGGGGGTCGGGGTCTGATGCCATGGGGTCGGGGTCTGATGGGGGTCGGGGTCTGATGGGGGTCAGGATCTGATGCCACGGGGTCATGGTGTGCCGTGGGGTCAGGCTGTGACACTGCGCTGTCCCCCACCCCACGCAGCTCCCTGCGCTGCAGCAGGAAGCCGTGGCGTCACGGTGAGGGTGACAGGCAGACCGGGTGCTGTGGGCACAGAGGAGAGGACAGCTCAGGGATGGGGACCTCATGGGGACAAAGGAGCCGTGGGGATGGTGCCTGTGTGGGGATGTGGAGGTTTGGGGTGCTCATCCCCCTCCTCGGTGGTGAGTGGTGGGGATATGAGGGGGTTGGGGGACCTGGGGCTGTGGGGTGGGGACAGGGGGGCACGGAGGGGCTGCGGGGATCAGCCTGGGATGGGGGGCTGCCAGGGGTGTGTTTGTCCTGAGGGTGGAGAGGGAGCGGGGAGGGGTCTGGGACAGAGACAGACAGACATGAGGACAGGATGGGGTCAGAAAACATCACTCAGACCCCACTCCTACCCCATCCCCCCGTGCCACTGACCACGTCCCCATGTGCCACATCTCCGCAGTTCTCAGCCCCCCCAGGTACAGTGACCCCCCCACACAGCCCCCTCGGCAGCTGTGCCAGCGCCTCACCTCTCAATGCTCCTACATCCAACCCAGACAGAACAGGGTCAGAGATGGGGACAGTGGCTGTGGGTGGGGGGCACGGCAGAGGCGGTGAGGATGGGTGAGGGGACGCGGAGAGGAAAGAGAGCTGGTGTGAACAGGAAGGGGACAGCGGCGGTGAGGACAGGATGGGGACGTGTGTGGTCAGTGTCTGCGGCCAAGCAGAACACAGAAGCAGGACAGAGAGCATCCCAGCGTCCCCATCAACAGCAACGGGGCCGTGGTGGCACTGGGGGACCTCGAGAAGAGCCACGTGCCCGGCCATCATCCCCCAGAGCCCCGTGGTGACCCCAGTGCCGCTCCCAGCAGTGGGAGCCCTGCAGGTGAGCCAGGAGCCAGCCAAGCTGCGGGTGGCAGCGGGCACCAACGTGTCCCTGTGGTGCCAGCTGGTGACAACAGAGCCGTGGTCCCTGGCCCGCATCTCGTGGCTGAAGGACGGGGATCACGAGGTGCTGTGCACCACCCGCCTGTATCCCAAAGCCGCTGCCGTGCCCTGCGCCACCCCCCGCCTCCACCTCGCCTGGAGCCCACCCTATGCCAACCTCAGCCTCCACGGGGCACAGGAGGGCGATGCAGGAAGCTACGTCTGCTGCTTCGCCATTGAGAAGCCCTACCTCGCCATGGCCGCCGGGAATGGCACGCTGCTCAACGTCAGCACAGGTATTCAGGAGGCACAAGGGGGTGGGCTGTGCCCCGCTCTGCTGCTCCCCCCAGGCAGCATTTAGTGGGGTCTGGGGGACGTGGGACCCCCAGGAGCGTTGCTGGTGATGTGGGGTCTCTGCATGGCAGCACTTGTAGGGTCACAGCATGGAGTGGGGATGGGGGCTGTGCAGCTCTGACTCTGCTTTCCCTTTGCTGCAGGAGCTGATGGAGTGCACGGGGCAGGTATGTGTGTCCCCACCGTCCCCCATGCCCCCCCAGTGCTGGTGGCAGTGAGGCAGCAGCCCAGCTGGCTGTGCTTGCAGAGCAGAAATGGAAGCTGTGGGGGGCTGTGGGGGGCACCCTGCTGCTCGTCGGGCTGATCTCCTTCGGCTGCTGGCGCTGCAGGAGGAGAACAGGTAACCCCCCCATCTGAGCAGCACTGTGCCCACAAACCCCCGTGTCCATTCACCCCACATCCACCCACCCACACCCCTGCCTGAACGCTGTCCCCAAATACCCCAATCCCCCTCTCACCCTCTGCCCCAATCCTCCACACTCCCCTCCCACTTGGCAAACACACCTCTGCCCATGCACCCCATGCCCCACTCCCCCCTTCCCTTCAGACCCCTGGCTGCTCCACTGGGTGCCTCTGGGGCTGGGGGCTCTGCCTTTAGGGCCGTGCCTGCCCTGCACCCCACAATGCCCCCGCTGTCCCCCAGACACCTCAGACATCTACGTGAACGTCACGCTGCGCCGGACCCCGAGAAACAAGAGCCCCCAGGGAGCAGCTGCTGGAGGACAGCGCGTACAAGGGGGGCTGGGCCGAGCGTGGAAGCCCCCCAGCCCTAAGGGGTGACCCCCCCTCGTGCCCCACAGCCCCCGATATCGGCAGGGACAGCATGTGAGCGATGCGCTCTGCTCTGCTTCACACAGGAAGAGCCCCCGCTGGGTTGCAGCATCCTGCCGCCTCGCTTCCTGTCTTCTTGCGGCGCCTTCCTGCCCCCCAGCATCCACCCCTGGGGGCAACCGCTGCCCCCGGGACCCCCAGCACAGACCCCGAGCACTGGGCAGCCCTGGGGCTGGGGGCACAGCACCGTCCCGTGGCCCCCCGAGTTACAGGGACGCCGCCATGCTGTCCTGTGTCCTCGTTTCTCTCTGCACGCAGTGCCTGCGCTGCCTGCAGCAGGGCTCAGCCCGATCCTGGCACAGCCCCACGGGGGGCACTGCTGTCAGCCCCCCCTGCAGAGCATGGGACAGAGGGGGGCCAGGGGTGGTTCTAACCCCAGTGCTGGGCCACGTGGGGTTACACATCCAGACACCAACCCTAACACCAACCCAAACCCTGACCCTAACCCTGATCCTAATCCCAACCCATCCTGATCCGTAACCCTAACTCTGACCCTGATCCTAACCCTGACCCAAACTCAAAGCCTAACTCTGACCCCAACCTGAACCCAAACCTGACCTCTAACCCAGACCCTGACCCTCACTCTGCCCCTAACCTGAACCCAAACTCAGTCCCTTTCCCAATCCTGCTCCCTTAATCCTAACTCTGGCTCTGGCCTCAAGCCAAACCCAATCCCAAACCCAGACCCAAACCCAAACCCAGACCCAGACCCAAACCCAGACCCAGACCCAAACCCAGACCCAAACCCAGACCCAGACCCAGACCCAAACCCAAACCCCGACCCAAACCCAGCGCTCCCATGGGGCAGCCGGATGGGAACTCCCCCCACCCCTCTTCCCCCACACACCATAGAGTTCAACCCCAAGACGTAGCAGAGCGTCCCAAAGCCTTTAATGGGAACACCCGGGGTGAGGCTCCCCGGCTGTGCGGGGCTCAGGGTGGCTGTGCAGCCACAGGATAGAGCAGGGAGAGGTGCCGGGCACCGCGGACGGGCAGCGCCCGCGCCGTGTAATGCCGCACAGCCTCGGGCACGGAGGGGAACGCGGCCCCAGCGCGTCCCAACACAAAGTGCTGCTCCCGCGTCCGCGTCAGCTTCACGTGCACGAAGCCGTGGCTGCTCCTGGGGGGCAGAGCAGGGAACGCGTGGGGCAGCGTGGGCACCGATGTGGGGCTCGTGTATCTCACAACCCCGTTCCCGTAGGGCGGCCCCACGACGTACCGGAGTGACAGTGAGTAGTCGTCGGGGCTGGTCTCGCAGTCCCTCACCAGGAAGCTGCCCTCACGGCACAGTGCCAGCAGTGTCTCGGCGCCCGCGCGCCCGATGGGGCCGTGGTACCACCTGAATGGGGCACGGTGGGGTTTGTCACCGCAGCTCCTGGCACACGGCGTCCCAACGTGGGGCACTGCGTCCTGCCCGCGCTGCTCGGGGACCAAACTCAACGTGGGGCACCAAAGGTGGCAGCCATCTGTGCCACCAGGATGTCGTGCCGTGGGGCATCTGCTGTGCCATGGGGTGTCCACGCCATGGGGACCCAACTGTGCCATGGGGACCCAACTGTGCCATGGGGACCCATCTCCACCACGGGGACCCAGCTGTGTTATGGGGATGTCTATGCCATGGGGACACATCACTATGATGGGGACATCCATGCCATGGGGACTCCATCATAGGCACCCATCTGTGCCATCAGGTATTTTCTGTGCCATGGGGACCCAACTGCACCACAGGGGTGCATTTTCTGTGCCGTGGGGAAGTCTATGCCACGCGAGCCCATCACCATCATGGAGACCCATCTGTGTTATGGGGACCCATCTCCACCACCTGTGTTATGGGGACATCCATGCCTTGGGGACCCAACACCATCATGGAGGCATCCATGCCATGGGGACCCATCTCCACCATGGGCACCCATCTGTGCCATGGGGTATTTTCTGTGCCACGGGGACCCAACTGCACCACAGGGACCCATGCGTGCCATTGGGATGTCCTTGCCATGGGGACCGATTCCACTATGGGACACACCTGTGCCACGGGGACCCAACGCCCCATGGGGACCCATCTCCACCACAGGGACCCATTTGCATCGTTGGGTTGTCCATGCCATGGGGCACCTTCTGTGCCATGGGGACATCCGTGCCATGGGGACCCACCTGCACCATGGGGCACCTCCTGTGTCATAGGGACCCAACTGTGCCATGGGGACATCCATGCCATGGGGACCAGTTCTATCATGGAGCACTTTCTGTGCCATAGGGACCCATCTGTGCCATGGGGACCCAACCCCCACCATGGGGACCCATCTCCAATACAGAGACCCATCTGTGCCATTGGGATTTCCATGCCATGGGGACCCATCTCCACCTCGGTGACCCATCTGTGCCACAGGGATGGCCTCTATCCCCTCTGAACCATAGGGACCCCACTCCCCCCCCCAATACCCCTCCCCCCCACAGGGCCTTGTCCATGCCATCCATGACGTTTGGGTTCAGGTTAGGGTCAGAGTGAGGGTGAGGGTCAGGGTTTGGGTTAGGGGTCAGGTTTGGGATCAGGTTAGGGTCAGAGTTAGGGTCAGGGTTATGAATAAGTTTGGGTCAGGGTAAGGTTCAGAGCCAGGATTAGGGGCAGGGTTAGGGTTATGGATCGGTGCCACCCCACACTCACACTTGCTTCTCCAGTGGCAGCGAGGTGTCCACGTGCCCTGGGCTGGGTGGGCAGATCGGCCTCGTGCCCGGGGGGGGCCGGGGGGGACGTGGTGGCTGTCGGGACAGACTGGGGGAGCGCTCAGGACTCTCAAACTGCACTGCAGGGACAGAGCGTGCTGTCACCACACTGAGGTGTCCCAGCATCCCAAAGTGGTACCCACAGGGGGGGAGGGATGCTGGGGCTGCAGGGTGGTACCCATAGGGGCTGAGGATGCTAGGGCTGTAGAGTGGTACCCATAGGGATTGAGAGATGCTGGGGCTGTGGGGTGGTACCCACAGGGGCTGGGGCTGTAGGGCTATATGGGGTGGTACCCATAGGGGTTAAGGGATGCTGGGGCTGGGGGGTAGTGCCCATAGGGGCTGAGAATGTGGGGCTATGGGGTGGTACCCATAGGGGCTCAGGATGCTGGGACTGTGGGGTGGTACCCACAGGGGCTGGGGCTGTGGGGGCTGTGGAGTGGTACCTATTGGGATTGAGGGATGCTGGGGCTATGGGTGATGCCTATAGGGGCTGAGAATGCTGGGGCTATAGAGTGGTACCCATAGGGATTGAGAGATGCTGGGGCTGTGGGGTGGTACCCACAGGGGCTGGGGCTGTGAGGGCTTTGGGTGGTACCCATAGGGGTTAAAGGATGCTGAAGCTGTGGGGTGGTGCCCATAGGGGCTGAGAATGTGGGGTTATGGGGTAGTACCCATAGGGGCTGAGGATGTGGGGCTATGGGGTGTGGTACCCATAGGGATTAAGGGATGCTGGGGCTGTGGGGTGGTACCCATAGGGGCTGAGAATGAGGGGCTGTGGGGTGGTACCCATAGGAATTGAGGATGTGGGGCCGTGGGGTGATACCCATAGACACTGAGGGATGCTGGGGCTGTGGGCTGGTACCCACTGGGGCTGAGGCTGTGGGGTTGGGGCTATGGGGTGGGAGGGACGCCGGCACCTGCGAACGCCCGTGAGATGTGATCCTTCTTCCACTCCCAGGGCTGGTCGTACTCATCAGCTGGGCGCTCGTCGTCGCGGGGCAGGCGGCTGTCCCGGGCTGCGCCCCCCCCCGTGCCCTCACCCACCTTCTCCCATCCCTCGCAGGGGGTGTCGTAGAGCTGTGGGCCCCGCTGCGTTTTCACCCGCTGCCCCTCACCGCGCCGTGGGCGCCCTGGGGGACGGGCAGGGCTGTGGGGAGCAGCGGGGGCCGGGGGGGCTGCGGGACCCCCTATGGGGACGGGGGTGGGGGGGGGGGGGATGCGGTGCAGTGTCACCCACCTGCAGCCTCGCGGGGGTCTTCATTGCCGCCCTCGGGCACCGAGTCCTGATCGAAGGGCTCCGAGTATTCGCTCTCGTTGGGGCCCTGCAGAGCGGTGGGACGGGACCCCCATGGAACCCCCCCACGTCCCCCCCCCTGCGGTCCCCTCCGCGGGTGCTCCCAGCTCTTTCCCCGCTGTGTTCCTTTGTGACCCATCCCTCTCCTCTCCTCCCCCCCGGACCTCCCCCATCCCCCACCCCAAATCCCCCCACTTCCCCCTTCCCAATTAATTCCCTCTCCCAGCCCCCAGTGCCCCCATTCCCCCCCCATTCCCCCCCCATTCCCCCCCAATTCCCCCATTTCCTCTCCCACTCCGCCCCACCCCCAAATCCCCCCGCGGTGACCCCACACCTCTCCCCACCCCCCCGCTCCCAATTCCCCACCGTTACCCCATCGTTTCCCATCCTCCCCACTGCCCCATCTCACCTCCCCCCCGCACCCCCCCCGGGTGCCCCCTCCTCACCTGTTCCAACCGACCCGGACCCCCCACCCTCACCAGCCGGTGCCGGGGGGAGGCGGTCCCGGTGCCGGTTCCGTGGGGGCGGCGCTCACCGCCGCTGTAGTCGGGTTGGGGCGGCCGGGGGGGGGATCGCCGTGCCCCCCGGCCCAGGTATTCCCGCAACCATTTGGCCATCGGCACCGCGGGACCACCGGACCCCCCCGCAGCCGCCGCCGCCGCCGCCGCCGCTTTGTGTCACCGCCGCTCTCAGCGCGGACCGGAGCCCCTCACCCCCCCCACCCCCAGTACCGCCCCGCAGTGATGCTCCGGAGGGGGGCGGAGGGGGGAGGGGGGGAGGGAGGGCTGAGCCCCCCCCACCCAACCGGGGTCAGTGGGAGAATCGAAGTGGCACCGGGACAAAAGCGGGCCGGCGGCCGCGGGACCCCCGGGGATCGGAGCTGGGGGCGGCCGACCCCCCCCCGGCACCAAGAAGGTTCCGCGGACCCCAACATCTGTTGGCCCCAGAGGGGTGCGGCCCCCCCCGGCTCAGCACAGGGGCACGAGGACCCCCCCCCATCCTCTTCCTAGGATATTTGGGGCGGGGGACCCAACCGCAGCCCCGCTCCGCTCTCCCCGAA